ACACAAACCCCCCGCCCGACTTGGCCCACCAAGGCACGGCTGCTCTGCCAGCCAGCACTCTTTAGCAGCTGCTTTGTCATCTCCTCTGTGACTTTGGACAAGACACAGACCTCTGCCTGGCTAATTTTCCTTTCTTCAAACCCCTCCCGTATACGAAAGAGGCAGCACAGTGGGGAAGCGCACAGGCTCTAGAGCCCGGCGTGGGGCTCCCATCCTGGCTCTGCCTCTTGCTGGCAGTGTGTCCTCAGGTGGGTTATGGACCTGCTGGCTCCTCCTCTGTGACATGGGGATTAATGAAGCACCTGCCCCGTTGGGTTGCTGGGAGGTTGAACTAGGTTAATCGTCCAGACCTGGCACACGGGAAGCGCAGGGTATATTGACACTTTATACCCCTGGTACGTGTGATCTGGTGCAAACATGGGGCTCTGTGGCCAGACGGAGCTCAAATCCCAGCCCTGCCACTCACTAGTGGTGTGACCTTGAGCGTCCTACACCTCCTTCAGCCTCACTTTCCTTATCTACCTCCCTCTAATTGCTGTAGAGATCGGAGCCATTGAGCATAGAGAGCCCAAGAGCAGCTGCAGGTAAATCACGCAGGCGTCTCCCCACTTCTCTCCCAGGCTCTTCTTCCTCCTTGCTATTTGGCAGCTCTGGCTTCCTTACCCTTAGCAAGATGCTCCCCACTAATGGCAGTTGTCATGTATCAGCTGAACCTGGCACTTCCCACCTCTGAGCCACGCCTATCTGCAAATTCCCAGTGACACACTCAGGGGTCCCAGCATGAGAGCTGTTCTTCTCCGTCCGGACTCTCAGCCTCTCTTGACTTCTCAAAACTGATTGCTCTGACTTGGTGCTCAAGGGCCTTCATGCTGTCAAGGCTGAAGGATTCTGATTTTACAAACACCTGGATGATATTCTATTGTTTTCCCCGCAGTGTCAAATCAGTAATGTCTTTTCATGGGCTCTTCACAACCTGCCAAATCTATCCTTGAGCCCAGTGGTTCTCAAAGTGTGGTGCTTGGACCCTCAGCGTCACACTACCTGGGAAGTTGTTTGAAATGCCTGTTCTCGGGCACGTTGAGTTTTAACAAGCCCCTGATGCACACTCGAGTTTAAGAACCACTAAAGGTTAAGAAACACCTTCACCCAAAAATCTAACTTTTTGGTTAAGATGAAATGTAGGAATCAAACACATTTCCCGCCAAGTCTATTTTTACTGTTTATTTATTGCTTATGCCCTCATCCTTCCAAAAAAGAGTGAATGAGGGCTTAGGATGAAATAATAATGTTAATAATAATAAATAACGTGTACTAAAATTTACAGTGCCTTGGGCGAGGCACTGCACTGAGTGATTGCAATGCATTATGTCATTTAATCGTTATAAAAACTGATGAAATATTTATTACGTTCCTTTGTACATGAAGAGACAGAACCTCTAAGAGGTTAAATAAATTGCCTAGGATAAAATTTGGGGGAGAAAAAAATGTTTTTATCATTGTTGGGATTTTTGTTTTGTTTTTGGGGAATCGTGTCATCATACCTTGAGTTTATTTTAGGGACCTTGTATCCAAAGAGCTATTTAGAAATAATAATTCCTAAGCGTTGAGTCTCACTAAGCAGAGTAGGATGGAGTGATTCTGACAACAAGACCACCCCTTGGGGCCTTTCCTCCATGCTGGGCAGTCGGCTGGGTGAGCTGCCATCGGCAGGTGACAGATTGGGTTGGAAAGTTCTCTGCAGACCTCCACTGGCAGGAGAAACAGTGCGCACTGTCACTGAGGGAACCTGCCTGCACAGCTTTGCTCTCAGAAGACGTGTGACAAACATCTGAGTCCCAAATCGATGCTACCGTGTTTCCCCAAAAATAAGACAGGATCTTATATTTATTTTTCCTCAAGAAGAGACCCTAAAGCTTATTTTCAGGGAATGTGTTATTTTTTCTAAGTATGGTACAACAATCCACATTTATTCAAATATAGTTAAGTCGTCATCTTCTGGAACATCATCATAACTCTCCAAACCCAGAATTCCATCCTGAATTTCTTGCACCTCTATTTCCTTTAGAACCGTTGGCCCCAGTCTCTCACGTCGAGCAATAGAGCTCTCATGAGACAGATGAGAAGGGCTGCTCGTCTTCTTTCCCACTCCGAGACAAAATGCATGGGTTGTGCAGACACGCTGCGTAGCCACGCCCATCACTAGGTCTTATTTTCAGGGTAGGGCTTCTATTGCACAAATGCTTAGAAATCCTGCTAGGGCTTATTTTATGGGGAGGTCTTATTTTCGGGGAAACATGGTAGTTATTGGCCCTAATGGATAAACCAACGTCCTTCTACCGACCCTATATGGTGGCCCCTATATCAGAAGAGCAACTTTGTGTTTTACTTCTTTAGAAGAAAAGACTTTTCTTATAACTTAAATGGATATCTTGTTTCTTCTTAAATGAAATAACTATGATTTTCTAAGTGCTTACTATATTCAAGTTCTGCAGTAGATGCTTAAGCATCTTAGGTCAATGATGCCTCGGAAAACTCTGCCAGGTACATATGAGCATCAGCATTTTGCAGATAAGGAAACGGTACCCAGAGAGGTTGGTCACTTGCCCTTGGTCACACAGGTGGTGAGAGGTAACACGCCCTGATGCCTACCCCATGTTCTGGGGCACAGAGATGCTTTTCATAGGCTGGAAACTGATTCCAGACGCCGTTCCTTTTTTCCCTCCTTGTGGGCAAATGGGGCACAATTCTGTAGACTTAGATTTCCACTTACAATGAAGGCCACTTGCTATAACCTGTGAAGCGAGTGATGAAGGTCCCTGGAACCTGGTGCTCATGATCTAATACTATTAGAGTGCACGCAGGGCTTTTCCCACCCTTGCCTTTCCCCTGCTCCGTTCTGTGTTCCTGGGAGGCTGAACCTCCGAGGGCAGCATTATGATAGGCCCCTTCTCGGTTTGGCCAACGATAGGGCATGGAGCGGAGTGGGCAGGTGGGAGAAAGAGAACAGACTGGGTACGGGGTAGTCCCCCCAATCTCTGCATCGGGCAGCATCTCTAGTGGCTGCTATACCTCCTTGGTGGCCCCAGCTCTTGGTGCCAGGATACTAGTCCTTGTAATACTGCCTCCTCCCTTGTCCACCTGGTCCTGGGGTGGTAGCAGCTCCTCCTATGCTAGTCTCTGAGATGCCTCCCTGTCCTCTGCTTGGAGGCTTAGCACTTTCATCATCTATATAACCAATTGCTCGAAGTCCCTCTGTTTGAAAGACCTGGAAATCCTTTCTTTTTTTACTGCTATTGAGTGAATTATCAGTGCTCGCTGAAGCTTCTCGTTCTGTATTCTACACGAATTGGAAGCAAAGCTCACAGATCACAAACATTCTTACAGTTCCCCATATATCCATATATCACCAAGGTCATCTTGAGTTTCTTCTCGTGGATTTTAATTTTTACCAACAAACTAAAGTCAGTTTAGTCTCATCGTTATCAGTTTTGTTTGTTGTTTGCTGAACCTTGCTATGTATAATGATTTGAATTTGCATCAGCAGCATTTGGGGCATTTTCTTATAACTATTGCACCTGAAGTTTTGAGTAACATTTTAAATATTTTGTTCTTTTTCAAACCTTTTTTTATTAATTTTGTTTTTATTTCATCATATTAGGTGTGTTCAAATGTTTAGGTTACATATATTTCCTTTGCCCCACCCGAATCAGAGCTTCAATCATGTCCATGCCCCAGACAGTACACACTGCACCCATTAGGTGTGAATATACCCATCCCCTCCACCCCCCTCCCACCTTCCAGACACCCGATGAATGTTATTACTATATGTGCACTTAAGTGTTGATCAGTTAATACCAATTTGCTGGTGAGTACATGTGGTGCTTGTTTTTCCATTCTTGAGATACTTCACATAGTAGAATGGGCTCCAGCTCTATCCAGGATAATACAAGAGGTGCTGTATCACCATTGGTTTTTATGGCTGAGTAGAGCTCCATGATATACATAGACCACATTTTATTAAAGGGCCGATAACTAGAATCTATATAGAACTCAGGAAACTCATCAAGAAAAAAAAATCAAACAACCCTATCAAAATCTCTCTCATAGATTTCTTTTCCTTTGGATACCTTCTCACATTTCACTGAGGATTTGGGAGGAAGAGCAGCTACATGTGTGCTTGTTCCTCTGTTGAATTGGAAGCCTTTATACTCATTTTGCTTTTCTGAATTTTCTAAAATAAGTGTATATTATTACATCCATATTAAGAAAAATAACAATACAAGCTGTTCTTAAAATTGAAGGGCTTTAGAAATATGTTCTTACTGTGCATAAAAGAGGAGAATCTTGTCACTGTTTCATACCAACCACCATGATGGCACTAACCGGGAAACTGCTTCCCCACAGTGCGTCAGTCCCAGTGAGCAAGAGTCTGGAGAATCTTGCTGTCTCACTTGTGATTTTTATTTTCCCAAGCTGGATTAGAAATGCTGTTAATGCAGGAAGAGTATCAAATACAAAGCCTACTATTAAACACCTCAAAACTTGGTGGCTTAAATTGGAAAGCATGTATTGGCCTGCTTTGTTGAGGGACTCAGATGGATGGTTCTGTTGGTCTCACCTAAGGCCACTCATGTGTCTCCAGTCAATTAATGGTTGATGGCCTCACTCACCTTTCTTGGGGCTTGGCTGGTTATGACTGGGGCAAGAGAGATGGTTGGCCCAACTGTCTCTCACCACACGGCAGTCCGGCTTGGGCTAACTCATCTGGCGATGCTTGCAGGATTCCCCGGAGCCCCAAGAGAGGAAACTGCAGGGCTCAGGACTCACGCAGCGTCCCTTCCAGCACACTCTATGGTCAGAGCAGGTCAACAAGGCCAACCTGGATTCCAGGGATGAAGAAATGAACCCCACATCTTGCTGGAAGGAGCTGGAAGCATTGCAGCAATTTTGTAATTTACGATTTACTGTTATAATTTTCTGTTTAATTCTGTTTTTCTTAGGCTTCTGAGGACCCAGTCTCTGGAATGGTTCTACAATAATGTGAAGAGCCGCTTCAAGCGCTTTGGCAGTGCCAAGGTCCTTAAGAACCTGTACAGGAAACACCGGCTGGAGAGTGGGGCATGCTTCGACATTCTAGGTACTCTCACTGCCGGCTGCTCTGGGAGTCTGGGTGGCCTGGCGGGGTAGAAGGTGGCCTGGTTTGGAGGCCCTGAAAACTGAAGCACATTTATCTAGAACAGGGAAATTTGCTCAAATATCTGGCACTAGTGAGGAGCAGAAAGAGAAGGACCAATGCCAGAGACTCCCAAATTTTTATTCTTTCGGTTCCAGCTTCCAGCATCCCCACTGAGCTCGAGTTTATGTTGTTAGGAGCTGCAAAGACCAAAAAGTATTTCTACAAATTGTGGATATTTTAGTGCTAGACCCCTAGAAATGAAAGATTCTTGATCATCATCCCCTGATGACTAAAACGTTAGAAAATTATTTTTGCTTGATTACAGAGAGACTATATCTGCCCTTGGAGGATATACCCTCCACTCCGTTTTCTTTGTGCTCCAAAATTCTATTCTTACCAGCCCTGGAATTCGATGTAATGGGAGAGGTAGAAAAATGTCAGCTTCCTCCCAGAAGCCTGAAGGATGAATTTTACCTGTGCTGTTTCTATACATTTAAGACAACCAAGTTAATTAGAGTGAGAAATTATGTTCTTTAGTCTTGTTAGACCAACCAGTGGAAAGGAATGGTTGTCAGAATAGGAACAGCATGTCCTCCAAAATGGCTATGTTTTTCAGTCTAGTGGCAGTGTTTTTTCATCATTTTGCTAGCACAGGTAGATGCTTTTTATCCATAAGAAACAGGGAGGAAGAAAAAAAAAATCTCATTCATCTCATTTGGAGCTTTTTCATCATCATTATTTTACATTGTTGTGTTCTCAATAAAGTCTTTGGTTGTGTCTGATCTAAAAATATGCCAGCCACTTAGACAACAAGAAAAATAGGATAGAAACATGAAACATGGAGAATCATTAGGGCCTTTTGTGCTTGTTAGACTCTCTGCCTTTCAAACTGCGCAGGAAGGAAGGCTTACAGCTACCAGAGCAGTGCCGAAGCCTACCACATTATTTTTTATCTTCCTTTTACTGATTTTTCTAAAAAATGTTCCCCTAGGAATGGAGACAAAAGAGAAATAAAGCTTAAAAGTCATACCGTCACCAGTTTTTCAACCCAAAGCGATGTCTCAAGAAGGTTCTCAGAATAGAATCAGCTCACTCGTGTGTATCCCATCCTTTCCTCACTCTCTTGTGCATCCTCGGGTCTGTCCTAGGCGCCCCTTTAAATGTCACCAAATTCAAATCCCATAAGTGGTGTTCTCCACCACTTAATGCAGAATGAGGAAAAAAGAAAGCACGTGTGGAGAATCCTGCAGCTCAGAGCGCGAGTTCCATTTCTGTCCCTTTCTCTCTGAGGCCCCACAGGAGGAGAAGTCGGAATTGGATCCCAAGTGGGCTAGGGCAGGGCTTTGAAATTTACAAGTGTCATTTTCAGAGGAGAATCATTTGCTAGGGATAAGGATCTGCCACGACGGAAGCTAATGTGTGTGCCAGGCCCGCTGTGATCCGCCACTTCTTTCACCTGGGCCACGGTCACTTATCGCACTGCATTCAGGTGGCGGTTAACACAGCTGCCTCTCCTGCCGGACCATCATGTGCAGGCGCAGCTTCTCTATCTCTTGTGTTCCCCAAAGCGTAGCTCCATGCCTGGCATATCTTAGATCCTCAATGTTGCACTAGTTGAATCTTAAAATCATTTTATGGATACCAAGACACTTCATAGAAATGTTAGAATCCATTGCTTTAATAGGATTGGTATCCCCACTGAAACTAAGATTTCGTTTGGATAAATATGAAGACAAGCAGGCAGTAGATGATTACTAAGTTGGTACTTAAACCTGTAAAGCCATAATCATAAAACAATGAGATGTATTCTGTAAGCCACGTAGAAGCTTAGGTAGACCTCAAGTATGGAGAAATCTTCCAGTGCTTACGTAGCCTCCTGGTCGTGTGAGATAACTAGAGAGTCATTAGCATTAGCTTCTACCTGTCACCCAGCACCCATGGTAGGTGTGCCATCTGCCATCCTCAGTTGTGACTACACATTAGAATCACCTAGAGAGCTGTGAAAAAACGTCCCCATACCCAGGATCCTTGTTTGCCACCCCTCTGTCAATTACTTCTGAATCTCTGAAGGTGGAATCCTGTATATATATTTTTTTAAAAAACTCCCTGGATTATTTTAAAGTACAGCCCAAACTGACAACCTCAGCTAGAACTTCACAATAATTAGTTCAGCAGAGTTCTTCAGCTTATCTTCAGAATTTTGATTGTCATAATATGGAAAATCTGCAGGGTACAAGGGATGTGCTGTGCTCCAGGACTCTGGGTGTCAAACTCCTTTCACCTGAGAAATGTCTCCACTATGCAAACCAGTGTAGTTTGCCCTAAAAGCACCCGAAATTGCATTTAGCCCACAGAATCTTCTGGGTGGCTCATCACATACACACCTTGTGCTGCCATGGGTCCCTCCCAGCCCTACCAAGCTAGCCTTCCTACTGCAGCTCATAGCTGGTGGCCAGATTAGGCCTACAAGGAGACCCATTCATTTTGTCAGATAAATCTAAGATTTACTCCTTCAGTAAACATCTATTGAGCACCTACTGCGTGCCTATGTACCTGGTTTAAGAGTTGGAAGTGAACAAAATGAGCAAGACCATGCCATCTCAGAGCCAAAATCCCAGTGGAGAAGTCAGACAAGTACACGTATTTATAATACAATGTCCAATGGTAATGTATTCACATGGCTTATTTGATAGACCCTTATCTGATATTTTCAACAGTTATCCTAAAAAGATGCACTACATGAAAAGGTAAAGTGGCCATGATTAATATACCTAATCTTCAGACAGTTGGATAAATAACATGCTTTTATTTAGTACTGGATAAAGTGGGGAAAAATAAACTATGCTTTTCTTTATTATCATTCTGTATCTATTTCTGACATGATTCCTGAAAAGGTCTCTTGCATCCTCCATCCGGGATTTGATTGACACATGTGATCTTTTGAAAATGCTGAGCCACGTGGAGTCAGAGCTTCCTCTGACTGGCGGCTTACTCAGTGCCTTCCAGAACAATTCGATTGCTTTCTGCCCCTGGGGAAAATCACATCATCCTAAAGGACATTGACGCTCCCACCTATGAATTTAAAGGAACACAGAGGGAACAGTGTTGTACTAGATTTAAAATCACTCCCTGGTGAGCTCCGTCTCCCAGAGATGTTTCCAGATCTTCTCTCTTCTCCTCCTCCCTCTGCCCTCCCCGTCCTCTCGAGAGAATGACCGCATCTCCTCCTCCCCGCGGCTGACAGGGTGCTCCTGCAGGGCCTTCCTCATCTGCGCCCTTTGCCCTGCTGAAAGGGGATGCTGTCCTTCTTCTCTGCTGCCTGCCCCTCCTGTTGGTCTTTGCATCTGACCCCTGTCACCACCAAGCCAGGTCGCTCCTTCGTACCCATTCAACCTCTCTCTAACTAGAATTCATGAACACAACCAGAGTCTCTCTTGCTTCCTAAGCTCTTCCTTGACTGCATTCTCCTCCACTCATTGCCCTGCTGTTGTCTTTCCCGTCACGGGTAAACCCCAGAACGTGAGCTGCCCTCGGGGCTTCCCTGTCCTGCCCTTCCTCACTCTGCACCCGCCCCCCTTCCAAGCTGTTCTCCACGCAGAAACCTCAGTGTGCTTTCAGATCTCCCCAGGTTACCTCTGTGAAACCTTTAATGTAGCTTCACATGGCTGTTGGGACAAAGATGGAAACGCTGATGTGAGCACTGTGGCCTCATGGTCTGAGTCCCCCCAGGTCACCTCACGCCAGCTTCCCCTCCCCTCAGCTGCCTCTCATTGAGTCCTCGCTGTGCCCCGTTCTCCCACCGCCAGTCTCTGTGCAGGCTCCTGCCAGGCCCTGGGTGCTCTCTGCTCCCTACACCCTCTTGGCTGGTTCCTCACTGGCCAGGGCCGTCTTCCCTGCTGCACACTTCTGCTGTTCTGTGAATCACTCCATCAGAACACTTAACACGTCTGTAATTTTACATTTATTCATATGTCTCTGATTAATGAATTCTCCCCCACTAGACTCTCAAGCTTGCCAGGGCAGGGAGGGTAGAGCTTTGCTCACCAATGTACTCCCAACACCTGGCTCCAGGTGCTCGTGGACTGTTTGCTGGACGAATGGATGAATACTGGCTACAGCCAGGATAAACTGAAGTATTTGCAGTTAGACGTATGTATGGCTTAGGAACTGAGGAGATGGCTTATCCTAAAGCTTTATTTTGTAAGCAAGGGAAACAGAGACCAAGGCAGACAGAGTCCTTTGCTCAAGGCCACAGAGCTAAAATAAGTAGACTTCTGAAAGTCTTTCAAAGGCCTGGTCGAAAAACACACACAGAGAGACAATGGCATATGGTCAGGCTGAATTAGTAGGACAGCTGCATTAGTAGGACAGAATTAGCTGCACTCTAACAGCTTATTTTGCAAAAGCAGCATCTACTAATCCTGCTCCAAATACCTATAGCAAATACCTATACCTTTAGAGTTCCCCACGGAACCCATCCAAGAAAGCACAGGGTGTATTATATGAAGGTAAGGCCTATTGCCGAGTTTCAATCTCATCTGTCCCTTTGTGAGCTAAGACACAGTAGACTCTCATTTATTTTCTTGGTTCTGTCAAACAGTGTTTTGAACCATCTTCTAATCCAATAATTTCTTTTGAGTCACCTACTCTCTCTAGATGCCATCATGGGCACTGGGGTACAGTGATTATTTTAAAAAGCCATTATACTGACCTTAAAAGATCTCATTTGATGAATTAATATGGGAACACAAATTTTAAAAATCGCTTTAGAAGGGCAAAACTAATTGCTCTGCCCAGACTGGAATTAAGACTAGGGTTGTGTGTTCAGCTAAGAGAAGACCAGGCTAGGCACTGTGGCTCACACCTATAATCCCAGCCCTTTGGGAGGTCAAGGCAGGAGGATGGCTGGAGGCCAGGAGTTTGAGACCAGCCTGGACAACATAGTGAGACCCCTGTCTTTACAAAAAAAAAAAAAAACTAGTGAAGCTTGGTGGTAAATGCCTGTAGTCTCAGCTACTTCAGGAGGCTGAGGCAAGAGGATCTCTCGAGCCCAGGATTTGAGGCTGCAGCGAACTATGATCACACCACTGTACTCCATCCTGGGTGACAGAGCAAGACCCTGTCTCTTAAACAACTGCGAGAGAGCGAGAGAGAGAGAGAGAGAGAAAAGACCAGAAAAGAGACAGTAGGCCTTAAAAGGTGAAAGACCATGGCTTATGTTACCTCCCTCTGGGTGTGTTTCACATGGACTCTCTTCTATAGAAGAGGATGGTGACAGTTAAATCATTAGGCCGCTGTGTGGATCAGTGCTGTGGACTCCGGCTAAAGATGTGTGGCATGGCTCATTACACATCGGGGAGAGTGCTGTTGTAATTGCTGCTGTTCTGGTAAAGAACCCAAGTGTTATGGAGGTTAAATAACTTGCTCTACATCACACAACTAGTAATTTGCAGGTCCAGGAATTGAGCTCACATCTCCCAGACTTCGTTGTTCTGTCTTTGACTCCATACTGCCTTCAGAGAAGGTGTTGGAAGAAAGTTAGGGATGGTAGCAATGCTGCACCAAGAATCAATGTGAGAAGAAAATAGCAACAGGTCAAAGATGGTAGCATTTTGTAGGACCCGGTGATTCCCTAAACCCATTTTCAAGGCTAACTTAATGAGTGGGTGTCAGGGTCTGCCAATTCAGTGACACAGTGACATCAGTGCTCACTGGTTCTCTCTCTCTCCCCTCCCCCCACCCCACCCCACCCCCAGGAGGAAGCTTTTTTGAGTCAAACCTGGAGAATGAAGGAAGCATTTCTGGCAGTGATTCAACATTTTACAGACAATCAGAAGGTAAGGTTGCTTAAGAGTTTACAATTACTGGGAAGTTGGAAGACTAGAAACACTTTCAGTTGCATTGTTATCCATGAAGGCAACTGTTCATTGCTATGTGTGAGTCTCCATGGGTCATCTTATTATTGCCAATTGTGTAAATGCATCATAAAAAATAGGTGGGTATATCCAAGTGTGGCCAACAGAACTGCATTCACTACCCAGCCACGTGATACTTTGCAATCAACTAGCAAATGTTCTTCTGGAGTTGGACAAAACAATAAATCCACTCACTTGTGCGTCTCATATTAAGATATTCCTCTGAAGAATGTATCATTTACAGATTTACTGCTGCTTATACCAGTATTATAGTCTCCTTAGAGCAGTGGTTGAAAGCAAAACAAACTTTCCCATTTCAAGTAAAACCTTGTTCATCACTTCAACTCTTGCCTAGAGCACCAGATATCGATAACCAGTGCGTCCTGAATGGGTGCTGAGATGGTTCATTTTAATGTGGCAACTTGTTTGGGTGAAGAGATGCCCAGATGACTGGCAAAACATCATTTCTGGCTGTGTCAGTGAGGGTGTTTCCAGAAGAAAATAGCATTTGAATCATAGACTGAGTAAAGAAGATCCACCCTAACCAGTGTGGACAGGCAGCGTCCAATCCACCCGCCGAAGGCCCAGATAGAACAAACGGGTGGAGGAAGGGCAAACTTGCTGTCCCTCTTCTGGAGGTGACAAATCTTATTTGACCTTCAGGTATCAGCGCTCTGATCTTGGGCCTTAGGGCACCAAGAGGTAAACCGATGGCTCCCCCATTTCTCAGACCTTCAGACTGGTACTGAGTTACACCAGCTGCTCTTGAGGGTCTCCAGCTTGCACACAGTGTATCGGGGGGCCTCTTGGCCTCCATGATCACATGAGCCGATTCCCATAGTAGGTCTATATCTGTGTGTGTGTGTGTGTGTGTGTATGTGTGTGTATAGAGAGAGCGAGAGAGAGAGCGCACACACGTGCGCACGTGCACCTATTACTTATGTTTCTCTGGAAACCCTAACTAATATAGGTGCCTTCTCATGAAAACTCTGTCCTCTGTTTTCCTTGCTGCCTGCAACTTCTCCATAGGATTCCACACACCATCATATAGCCTCCGTGTTCCTCCATTTGTACCTCTGCTGAGCCTAAAATGCCCAGCCTTAATTTCAGCTCAGAGGTCTAGGCTCAGATCTCTAATGGTTGTCCATTGGCACCTGAAGATCCTATAGGATTCTTAACCTAAGCATGTCCTAATCAAGGTCCTTAGCCACTTAGGTCCAACAACAAAAGGTATCTTGCCTTGAGTCTGTCTCCCAACTTCCACCCAGCTCTGTTTCCAATGTCATCCTTTTTGTTTGCATTCTGAAGCCCATGACCTGAGCACCTCCCTGCTCAAAAATCTCCTGTCTTAGTGTTAATTTCAGTGACTATCTGTCAAGGTTCTCCAGTAGGAGACACATATGTATGTATGCACACACACACACACACAGATTCATTTTAAGGAATTGGTTCGTATAATTATGAGGACCCAGCAAGACTGAAATCTATAGGGTAGGGCTAACAACTCAGGCAGGAATTGATGCTGCAGTCTTGAGGCTGAATTTCATCTCTGGGAAACTTCAGTTTTTACTCTTAAGGCCTTTCAACTGATTGCATGAGCCCCACCCACATCGTCAAGGGTAACTCTTACATAAAGTCAGCTTGATCGTAGAGGTTGACCACATCTACAAAATAACCTTCACAGCGACACTCGGAGGCAGATTAGTGTTTGATAATTGGGTACTATAGCCTAGCCACGTTGACACATAAAATTTAACCATCCCACCACCTAACTGGTCTTCTGAACTTCAGCTACCTGCCTTCTTAACCTTCCTTTACCACCACCCCCCCCACCAATTTTTCTGCCTGAAACACTGACCTGAGCCTTCAGTTTTCAGCCACTGTTTCACATCACTCTCATCCAAGAATCATATGTCAACATGGCAGCCAAAGCCTTTCTAGGTGTGGCCCCAGGTACTTACTCTCCAGGGAGCTCTGGGACTTGGAGACTATTCCTGTCATGGGGATTGTTAGGCATGCCTCTTAGTGATTACTCACATGCCTAATCAATCACCCAGTAGCTTGGAAAGCGATGAGAGCAGGGACTCAGCTTGTCCACCAGAGCCTAGCACACAGGAGGCCCTCAGTAAAAGTTTGTTTGATTCAGTGAAAATGTGTGGACCTCTTCTGTGAAAAAATGCATTGGTAGCTACCTTGAAGAAGAGAAATAAGAGAGATATAGTGTCTATCTCCAGAGAGCACTTAGTGTAATGATTTTACGGGATCTAGTTATAAAAACATTGGGAAAACTGTCCAATCAGCCACTGGCAGTGTGCAGAGCCCCAGGGTGGGTTGCCCCTACATGGCTCTGTCGTGACTGTCCTGGCCATCCTTCCCTGTCCTCATCAGCGGGCTGGATCACTTTGACCTTAACTGGGTTGGTTTTAGAGATTGATGTTATTATGTTTGCCAAATGCCATTTTCTGTCCACATTTGCATCTTTACGAGTCTAAGAGACTTGCATTATTTTTTTTAATTGAGTGAGTGATTAATTAATGAATTGCTATATTTACACCCTGTCTCATTGCACAAAGAATTTTCAGCAGCTTACAGGAGATTTGCATGTGTTAAAGAATACATGACTAGATATTATAAATGGAAACAGGAGGTTGAAACTGGGGAAAAGGAGACCCAGGCACCCAGCCCTCGAGTACCTATATTCCTGCATCTGTTGTGATTTGGACTTCTGGAGCGACCTAAGAGAGGGATAATAGAAATTCTCACAAGCATGAAGCTAAAATCTAATAGCTCAAGGAAAGAAGAACTCTGCCAAGCACTTAGCTCCAAAAAGAATCTTGTCACCTGGGGAAGTCCTTTGATCTGGAGATACTTTCTCCCATTTTGTGCTATATGAAAAATAAACAAAAAAGAATATGTTCGCCAAAAACATGATAGCACTATATTTTAAAGTCATGTTAGCTTGTATTCATCTCAGTTTTGTGGTTAAAATGAAGGGTTTTGGAGACTGAGTACCAAATTCAAATATTAACACTCTTACCGTCTTGCTGTGTGACCTTGAGCAAGTTGTTTTACCTCTCTGCGCTTCAAAAAATTTACCATCTGTAAAATGGTGCCTTCTTACTGGACTGTTGTCAGGATAAATTGTGATCGTGTATGTGAAACTCTTGGCCTATGGCCTGGCATGTGGTCGAACTCTGCGAGGTTGGCCAGTATTGCTGTTATTGATATTATTAATATTGTTTAGAGTTTTTAATCTAAAAAACTCTTCCATGGATTTTGTATTTGCATTAAATTATAGGCACACTCTAGTGCCCTTAGGACATTTAATAACTCTTATTCCCATCATCACAATGACACATTATATGCACAAAATAAAACATGATCTTTATCTGAGAAAGTGGATGAAGATCTGTTATTTCCTTATATGAAGTCCTTTTGTTCATTCATCTTTAATCTACTCTGTGTGCTTGGACGGGTGCTTAGTGTTAGGATACAACAGTGAATATGATCAATTCTTGCTCTCTGCAAATGACCTATGGGAATGGGCCTCTCTGCCTCCCATGAAAGCAAGCCCAGAACCTCGGTCAGACATACAGGGAGGGGCAGAAGGGGTCTGAGATTTTTTAGAAGAGGAACCCTTAGGCCAAGCGTTGGGGTCCCCAGGAACCAGCTCAGTCGTGTGGCAGGAGACCAGATGGAGGAAGAACGCGATAAGAGTTGTGAAGAGAAGTTGGCAGCAGCAGAATGAGGCACGGGAGGAGTATTGAGGCGGGTGGGAAGGGTAAGGGACTCATGTGCCAACGAAACCCGTTTGAAACTTGCTAACCTAGACCCCCGAAGGATTTAAGCAGGGGAGCTCAAAGTGGAGCGATCATTTTACTGGTCATTTCCTTTTAAGAAAGTGCTGTGCGTTCTGTTTCCTGTCTAGGACATAGTGTGATGGACACCTTGGCTGTGGCCCTGCGGGTGGCTGAAGAGGCCATCGAGGAAGCAATTTCCAAAGCAGAAGCCTATGGGGACAGCCTGGTAGGGCCTCCCCTGCTCCTCTCTGGGGGGAGGTGTGGGTCGGGGTCCCGGCCACAAGGAGGAAGTGCAGGTTGTAGGGAAATCAGTGTCCCAACGGCCTGGACTAACGAGTGCATGCCCAACCTCCTTCTGCATTTGTGGGCAGGTCTCTCCCAAGAAAGGGACTGCCGAGGCCCCCCACACCCACCCAAGCACCTGGCCATTCTCTTCCCTCTGCAGGACAAGCAGAACGAGGCCAGTTACCTGCGGGACCACAAGGAGGAGCTAACTGAGGAGCTGGCCACAGCCATCTTGCAGAAGGTAGGTGGGCCGCAGAGCAGGGACCCGGGTCCCTGTGCAGAGCAAACGTGGGGAATGTCATTTGCACAGCTTCCTCTCACTTTCACCTTTGTGCTCAGAGGGCCATGCACAGGGGCTACATTGCACTGTAGATTGTGAGCAATTCAAATATGGTCACTTTTGGGATTGAGTTAGTGGGTGGGTGGGGACTCAGGAATTCTTGGCACTGAGCAGGCTGCTCGTGTGTGTGTGTGTGTGTGTGTGTGTGTGTGTGTGTGTGACTGTATCCCTTTGCACACTTCCCATACAGTCTCTTGCTGAAGATGCTTTGCAGTCTGTCACCTCCATGCCCTAAGCTGTCCCCGACACAGTGTACCAGTTAATTACTTCCGAGAAAGCAGCCACCCAAAAACTCTGTGGCTGTAAACAAGCATCTCTCTATCTTCCACAGCCAGTTCTCAGACACCAACTGAGAACTGAAATTCAATCCCTTTCTGGTTACTGACTGACTGCTAGTGCAGACACTGCAAGTTAAGGACTCAGTCCCACAAGACCGTCCCCACATCAGACGCCACCCACAGGTCTCAGGGATCCCAAGGTCACCACACTTTGCTGCCTGACCTACTACAAATTCAGGGGCTCCCATGACCCCAGGCCCTCAGGTTCGACAATTTGCTGGAACAACTCACAGAACTCAGGAAAGCACCTTACCGTCAGTCACCAGTGTAATATTGATAACTTAAATAATAAGTGGCTGGGCACGAGAGTCACACTCAGTTCAAGTTTACTAAGCCAAAGTCTGAGGGTGTGTGTGGGAAGGGGACAGACCACGAAAGCGTCTATGGCCCTGGGCTCTCCCCTTGGGGATTGGAAACAGGTACTTAAAGGGGAGAGGACATGCATAGACAGTGAGGCAAACGGTCACCCTCTTGTGGGGCTCTAATCAGTGCCAGGCAAATCTGCATTTCACATAAAGTAAGGTGAACATTCAGAAGGGAGCAGAGGGAGGAAGACAATTATGTAGTCTGCTCAGGGTGGGCAGAGGAGTGACTGGTCTCATCTGTCGTTGGTCTGGATCTGTGGAAATAAGCTTGTCATTGACATGGTCAGTGTGAAACTTAACAGAAGTCAAGATCAAGAGTTTATTTGCGTTGCAGTCCTAAGGTTAGACTTGGCACCCATTTGTTTTATAGGGGATACACGAGGTCTGTCCGTCTGTCCTGAAAGTGTCCAGCCATGTAATATGCAAAATAGAGACATCTATTGAAGAAGATACAAGAAACATTGTACACAGGACAGTGACGCCTCAGAGTAGGCACCTTGGCACCTCACATAGTTCTCCCTGAGTCTCTTAACCTAAGCTGTACGTGTTCATCATTCTGAGGTGTTCTGCTTGCTGCAGGCCTTCCAGAACGTGGGTCATTTTCAGCAGATTCTTAAGCATCTTTGAGGCATTTGTGCGACACTTTTATTTGCGCTGCACTCATTGCTGCTGTTCTACTTGCTTAGTCATTTTCGAAAGCAATGGCCACACAGTACACAGGCTCACTCCACAGCGTCTAGCGCCACCCCCGCCTCGTCCCCCCAGTACAGTGAGGGTGTCACTGTGTTCACGCATGCGCATTCCAGTCCCCTCTCCTTGGCTGCCGGGTTACACCGTTGTTGCACAAACCATTCTCGTTATGTGAACGATGGCTGGATGCTTTCCGGATAGACTCCGTATATCTGAAAGGTTTAGGGCTGACAAAGCATTTCCCCATGAGCAATCCGTGAGGAAAGCCATCGGGAGAGGCAAAAGGCCTGGTCGTCGTGGGAAACTGGATTACGCGTAAAGTCATGGCGCTGGGTCGTGAGATCACAGCTGTCCATTTGGTGGCAGTGCTGCGTGGCTCAGTTTCCCGGCCCGGTCTCTCTTGCTGCATAATGAGTATTGGAGGCCCTGAGATTTTATTTTTCCCTCACAATATAAAGGATACGAATGAACAGCCAGGTGGGGAGCGATGCATGGGGCAGCAGGGTCTGGGGACAAGGGTGCACAGAGCTCCCATGCCCCCTCTGTGTGAGCCACCTCCTGACACATCAGCGTGTCCCCCAACCAGGAAGCTCTCTGCGCCTCATTGCTGCAGAGTTGTTATCGAGGCTCCATTACGTAGGCATGATTGATTAAGCAACTGGGCATCTGATCGAGCTCACTCTCCAATCCCGCTCCCCTCCACAAAGGTAAGGGGCTGGAGCAGAAAATTGCAGCTCTCTAGTCATGTACTGTGTACTTGGTTTTGCTGGCAGCCAGCCTTCATCCTAGACCAGGCGTCCTCGAACTACGGGCCACATGCCACCCTCCTAGGAAATTTATCCGGCCCTCCGGGTGTTTTTGCCGCTGCTGCCTGTCCTGCTTAGCAGCCGACTCATCCCAGTCCCACAGTGCACACTCTCCAATGGTCTAAGGGACAGTGAACTGGCCCCCTGTTTAAAAAGTTTGAGGACCCCTGTCCTAGCCAACTTAGAAGTAATCTAAGGCCCCCACCTTCAATCGCCCTGTTAGTATAACAAAGACATTCCTATCACTCAAATACTTCCTGGGGGGTTTGAAGCTCTGTGCCAGGAACTGGGGTCAAACACCAATACAGATGCCCCTGGACTTAAAATAGATGGGATTGCCTCCAGATAGTAAATCTACCCTACCTTGAAAATATTGTAAGTCGAAATTCATGTAATACGTCTAACCCCCACCTAATACATCATAGCTTAGCCCAGCCTGTCTTAAACAGGCTCAGAACACATACATTAGCCTACAGCTGGGCAAAATCATCTAACACAAAGACTACTTTATAATAAAGAGTTGGATACCTCATGTGATTTGTCGAATACTGTACTGAATACATATCACTCTCACACCATCGTAAAGTCAGAAAATTGTAAGTCAGGGACCATCTGTGTATCTTTTTTATCACACCACAATTTCTTTCTTGCTCATGCATCTGCAGTAGCTCCACTTGAAGCCGTGGGTTGGGGCCAAATCAGCTGCAGCGTGTTCACTCTGGAGCCATCCAAGGCACGTCAACCACTTGTGGCCATGCTAGAAGCCCCGGAGAACAGGAGGAGGCAGGCGGTGCCTGCCAAGGCTGAGGCTCGCCCCTGGCACACGTTGCTGACACCCTCCTCACGTGCCATTGGCCAGAGCAAGTCACACAGTGGAGCCTAAAGCCGAGGGCTGGGCAGTACATTCTCCCTGTGTGGGGAGGGACTGCAAAGTCACAAAACAAAGGGCTGTATACAGGGAGTGTTGAAAAGTCCAGTCTTCCCTTTTGGTCACAATAATTCACGTCCCATCCACATGGCAGGTATATGCACCCCACCTAAAAGACCCCTAAGTGTCTGATCGGGTCATGATTCAAAGTACATTCTATCCAAATTCAGCTGCTTTTCAGCTAGAGATCTGTGAAGCTAGCAAACAAATTACCTCCCCCTATATACCCAACAAATAGCGTTGGAAGAGAAACAGGGAAGTGGCACTAACCCCACTCCCCCGCAGAGAGGAGGCACGGGAGGCGTAGGAGGTCACTCGTTCTCAGTGATTCTGAAATCCTGCTGGGGAACATGGCCAGGTCCCCGCCCTGCCATGGGGATTGTGGGGATTGTGGGGATTGTGCCCTGATTAGACCCCAGGTCTGTCCCTGGGTGTGGCACCTCAGTTCACTGTTCTCCGTGGCTCTCAGCCTTCCCTTTCATCATCCTGTGTGTCCTAAAAGAGCACTGAGGAATATGCGCATCTTGGTGGCTCAGCGGTGTTTTGGCTGCTGCTTGCCTGTAGGAAGCTGAGAGCCCAGAGACCTCTGTACAGATGGACTCAGTAAATCCAAACGGCTCTGCCAACCCTGCAAGTGGTGCCGCGAGCTGGACCTGAAGCCGTCTCTGATGACTCTGGGTCTCTGCCTCCTCGATGGGGCTTCCAGATGCTTCCCAAAGTCAGGACTGATAGCCAGAGACTCTGGGTTTGAGATCCAGCTCCACCATTTATGAACTGGGTGGCTTTGACTTAATCTCCCTGTGCCTATTTTCTCATCTGTGAAATAAGGAGAATCATATAGCTTGTACCTCTTGGGATGAAACATGGTAAAGCATATACGGTACCTAGCACAGAGTCTGACACATGATAGGCACTTAATAAATAGAAGAAGCTGTTAATATCACAGAAGGATTGTTTGTAAACTGTAAACTGCTTAGAGCAGGGGTCCTCAAACTTTTTAAACAGGGGGCCAGTTCACTGTCCCTCAGAGCGTTGGAGGGCCAGACTATAGTTTTTAAAAAAAACTATGGACAAATTCCTATGCACACTGCACATATCTTATTTTGAAGTAAAAAAACAAATGGGCAAAAACACCCTCATGTGGCCCACGGGCCGTAGTTTGAGGACGCCTGGCTTAGAGTGTTCAAGGCTATAGTAGTGCTGTTATAAAGCAGATCTGAAAACACGCTGGTGTTCAGTTGAAATTAAGCTTTACAGCGGCTGAAAAAAATTCCAGAGACAGTCCCCAGTTAACTCCACATGGCATCTGGAGGCCTCTCTGCTAACTGGCTCCCTCTGTCCCCTACAGATCATAAGAAAACAGAAGAGCAAAAGCGAGCAGCAAGTGGAAGAAGAGCCGGAGTGGCCACAGCCCCAGAGCTGCAGCGCCAAGGCCCCAGATGAAGGGACCACAGTGGGCCTGGGAGGCCGCCGAGCTTCCGCCACCCTCTGGGTGAGTCCCCCCACCCGGGCAGCCCCCACACCGACGCCCTCCGCATGCTGATCAGAGCTGCTCTACGGTATACCTGTACCGGATGGGGCTTAAGCATCCGTAGTTGACTCAGGTGCCCACTGGCCAGCGTAAGGGATTCTAAGGGACAGAGGGGGAGAGATTGAGAGAGAAGGTGAGTGTGAGAGAGAGCAGGAGGGGTGAGAGAGGAGAGACAGAAGCTGAGAGAAAGGAAAAGCACAACTGATTATCAATGGATACGGAGGCGGGTTTTTACACAGAGACGAATTTAGGAAAAGTCAAAATGTCGACGGGCTGCATTTTTATATTCATTCTGAGCAGGGTTGTCCTGAGTCCTTGCGGGGGCAGGGGTAGCTTCGTTAGAGCCATGTGTATTCTTACAACCTAGGTCATTTGCTGATACTAAGTGGCGGCTACAAAATTGCCACTGCCGTTGCAGCCACCAAAATGGTCACATCTGGACATGGTTGGGAAGTCACGATGTGATGCCAACCTTTTTGTCTGTCACCCTGAATCACACACAGAGCTTCATGGCCTCCCTGTGGCCCAAGGGTCTGGGGCTGCTTGCAAGTCCCCAAGTCCATGTAATCCTTTGCTCTTGGCTCACGTCGGCTCTGCAGAGGACGAGCAGAGCGCTGGCAAAGGAGCTCTGTGCGCAGGATCAGCAAGGAACCAAGGGACTGGCCAGCAGGGCTCTGGTTCTGCCAGCCACAGGGGCCCAGTGGCCTTCATCCCTATGAGAGCAGATTGAGAAAAGGGTGTGTACAGCCGCACGTGGCAGACTGCAATTCCAGAACGGATCACCTGCATGAACTCCCCATGTCCTCACCAGCCACCAGATACAGGGGGTGACAAGGAGTATCTCTATGGCTTTATCAGAGATTAAACTTCATTGATTTATCGGCAGGACCTTCCCTTGTCAACATGTTCTCAGCTTGTTTTGCTGCTGCTGTCCTGTGCTCAGCACCAAGGAGAACAACACAAGTAGAAGACTAGGTCCCTGCCCTCCAGTACTTTGTAATCTGGTTAGCAAGGCAGGCGGGGGCTATGGCTAAAACTGGTAAAAAGCAGATAACAGGAGACTTCATAATTGAGTCCTCAGTTGTAAGATTGAGACTGGAAATGGATTTGGAATTGGGAGAAGGGAGAGGCCTTTCCGGCAGGGGGGTTGGAGGAAGGATCCTGCTGGATGGTCCCTCAAACGGCCTGTCATCGAGACAGGTCTGTAAATCAGACCTGCCGTTCCCGGGCTCAGGATGCAGGTGCAGGTCACCTTGCATTTGGGGAGCCATTCTGAAGTATTTTCTGCACACTCAAAGAGTCAAGTTCAGGAGGGCTCATGGAAGGGGGAATCTACATGGCACCCCAGACTGAGCCTTGAGCAAAGGGTCAGAGGCAAGAACAGGGAGCTTGGGCTCTGCCTCTGCCACTCCTGGGATGAGATTTGGCCTTGACTAGTTCATTTCAAACAGATGTTTGAAACCAAACATTTGTTTGGTTTCCTGTCTATAAAATGGGGATATGGCTGGGTGAGGTGGCTCACGCCTGTAATCCTAACACTCTGGGAGGTTGAAGCGGGAGGATCGCTCAAGGTCAAGAGTTCAAGACCAGCCTGAGCAAGAGCGAGACCCCGTCTCTACTAAAATAGAAAGAAATTAATTGGCCAACTAAAAATATATAGAAAAAAAAAATTAGCCAGGCATGGTGGCACATGCCTGTAGTCCCAGCTACTTCGGAGGCTGAGGCAGGAGGATCGCTTGAGCCCAGGAGTTTGAGGTTGCTGTGAGCTAGGCTGACGCCACAGCACTCTAGCCAGAACAATAGAGTGAGACTCTGTCATAAAATAAAATAAAATAAAATAAAATAAAATAAAATAAAATAAAATAGGGATAATAAGACCTGCCCCAAAGGACTGTTCTGAGGATTCCTTTTACAGTCAACATTCTTTATTGAGCTCCTACTGTATGCAAGGCTAGGTGCTGCAGAGACAGGGGTTCTTGCAGATACAGCAGACTCCACCATAATCTATGGGTGGGACACATCAAAAATAAGTCAACAAGGAAACACAGGGGTACAAATTCTAGTAACCATTATCAAGAGGATGGAGTGGAGGGAGAACTGGGATAGGTAAAAGCTTGGTCGGGGGACAGGGAAAGCCTTTCCTAGGAGGTGACATGAAAGCCCGGCTTGAAGGATGAGAGATTTGGGAGCAGTGGAGGAAAAGCACTCCTGCAGGGGAAGAGCATTCACAGAGGCTCTGAGCAGGAAGGAACTGACAAGTTCAAGGCAGAGAATAGCCATGACATGGCTGGGGAACAGAGACTACGGGGCACAGCGGCAGGAAACCAACTGAGAAGTGGACATCCGGCCACTTAGCACCTAGGTTTCGTCCCTCAAATGATAGTTATTGTTCTTTCTATCATTCCTTTATTTCTGCACTTCAAAATCAAGGTCACGATCATCAAGGCGTACCTGCTGTGAATCATGAGCTGTACCTCACCGTGTTTGGTCAGCTAAGCCCCAGGTCCAGAGAGAGGCAGCTGTGGGCGTACCACTGCCCCCGGCTCTGATTCACAGGCACCTGCCCCCGCCAGCCGGCCCCACCCTGGGCCCTCGCAGCCACCCTGTCGCCTTCCCTCCCACACACAGCCAGGTGGCGCCAGCTCGCTTCTCTTCCCTTATCTCATCTCGCCTACTGGAACGTTTCTGTCCACTCACTACATCTCAGGGCTGCCCTGGTCACCCTTCACCAGCGGCTGAAAGCTCCCTCCCAGACCTTGTCCTGCTTCCCCTTGCACGAAAGAGACCTCACTCCCCATAAACAGCCCTTTCCCGATTTTTCCTGTTCACATCAGCTGACTGCAGCCCTGCAGAGCAGCTAACGTTCTCATGCAAACCGTGAACAGAGAGGCTTGGAGGATGGGTGGGCTCATCGTAGGACGCTCAAGTAATGCTGGCAATAACGGAGGGATGGCCAAAGGTCCACAGTAATAACATCTAGCTGGACCTTTCCTTTCTATAAACTATGTGCAGAGAGTTTTCGCACGTATTTCTTCATTAGAGCCATGTGAGAGCACCCTGCATCATTCCCACTTTACGGAGGAGTAAACTGAGGCCTAGCCAGCCCAAGCCACTGGGACTAAGTGGGTTCCAGGACTAGAGTGTGGATCTCCTGGTTCTGAGCATTTCCTATGCTCTGCTGTCTCCGGTTCCCTTGGGAAGTTCTGACCATGGAATGCCTGCTTCCCCCACTGGGTCACTGGGTCTCTCCTCGCTGTGCGTGTGGTTGAAGTTGGAAATGGTGTTCCTCCCACCTCCTAGAGACCAGACGCTCTCTGTATGTCATTAGAGATGTGGAACAGTGGGCTCTTGTACCATGAGTCAGGGCAGTGGGCGCAGCAGTGATCACGGGCAATGGTTCCTCTTTCAACAGCAGGACAATAGATGTGTCTTATCCACACTCCTCAGCCGAGCCCTGGCCAAAAGCAGCTTAAAATAAACAGCGGTGACCCTCCCCAAGAGGAATCTCCTGCTTGGTTCATCAGCCAAGGAAAGAATTCAGTCCACCTGGGACACAGGCATGGCCCTGGGCTCTTTTCCCTAAAAAAGATATTTAGAGATACAATCCAGAGTCTCACAGAATTCCCATTTGGTTTGCTAAAACAAACACCTCTTGGGATTTGATTTTCATATCAGAAAGTCTTGTCTTGCCAAATGCCTGCCTCCTGCATAATATAACTAATGGCTGCAGCTTTGACATCAATGTAGAGAGAACTTAAGCATTTCATACCTATTTTTTGTCTTTTTCTTTTCTTTTTTTGAGACAGTTTCACTCTGTTGCCCAGGCTAGAGTGCTGTGGCATCAGCCTAGCTCACAGCAACCTCAAATTCCTGGGCTCAAGTGATCCTCCTGCCTCAGCCTCCCAGGTAGCTGGGACTATAGGCACATGCCACCGTGCCTGGCTAATTTTTTCTATATATTTTTAGTTGGCCAATTAATTTCTTTCTATTTTTAGTAGAAATTCTCACTCTCGCTCACGCTGGTTTTGAACTCCTGACCTTGAGTGATCCACCCGCCTCGGCCTCCCGGAGTGCTAGGATTATAGGCATGAGCCACCACGCCTGGCCCTATTTTTTTTCTTGAAGCAAATAGTAGAATTTTTTTTATTTCTAGATTTTGATATAGAAATAAGGCTTAATGGAACCCCTTGCCTTCTGTTCAAAAGTATCTTTCGAATTTCTGATATACAACACTTGGCTAGATATGTCCACCTTCCCCAGGCTTGAATCTACTTTTGTGGGAGGAGGGGAGTGGGAGAGAACCATGAGGCTGTAGTTTGGAAAACCCCTGTAAAGGATTCTGATCCACCCACCCCCTTAGGTGATCACGTCTTCTGGCAAAACACCATAACCATATATAGATCATGTGCTTGGTGGGGGTACAGGTACCTTACAGAAGGGACAAGATCATGAGCTGGCTCCTAATATTACAACCTTAACCTTTAACTTGGACATTTGATCAGGGGGTGTCCCCTCCTATGCCCTCCCTTTGAGTTCACACCATCCCTTGGTTTGTAATATGTAAACAGCATATTTTTGTCAACAATATTGGTCAAGAAAAAGTACATGCTTTATCTTCCTCCATCCAGACTTACACTCACTGGAAGCTGCCCCAAGGCAAAACAGCCTGGATCTGGGAATAAATCTATTACATGCCCAGCTGGGTGCCTGGCACGGTGTGCCCCTTTGAGAAGCCTGCATTATAGCCCCTTCATGCTTGTCAGTGCTCATGTACGCTCTGGATTTTCCACACTCAGCATTGGGAGTGTGGTGGGGCACCCTGCAGACGCAGGGCCATGGCCGAATGATGGCAGAATGCATCAATTTTTGGGGATTTAGTCAAGGCCTGGGCTTGAACCCTTCCCTTCTGGTTCCCAGGATACCTGGGAAGGAAGGAGAATGTGATGATCAAGGTCCCAGCA